AATTGTGTTCTCGGAGCATAATTGCATTGCTCTTCCGACAAGACACTGGGATACGTGTTGTCTGTGTCGTACAATTACCCATTCACTTTCACGCCTATATTACCCTTCCAGCTGAAGGAGAAAGTGTCTATGGGTGTCCCCACGTTTGTGGTATCAATTTATCCGTCCTTGTAGGACAAATAACATAGACCACGTCATGAGACATTTGTCTGAACGCTTCCGCGAGTATCACCCAGCGTGGCTAAGCCGAGGACTGAACAAAACATGCATCACCACAATAGTTTCGCATATAGTTCATCCGAATCATCCAGTATTTTGCACTGAAGGTTTTCGCCCGATATACCGTACGACGGGTGTCCCATCCAAGCTTATCAAATGCAGAATCTCTGCATTGGCGGAGGCCATCACGATTCGTCTCAAAAATCCCCTGCTGTGTGCGTAAGCAGTTCGTTAGATCCTTGATTCTTCCACGGCCAGCTCTCATCCGGATAGCTTCCGCGTTAAAAAGTAAATTCATTTTAGGCATATATACTTTCCAGTTACCCAATCCACCCTCGCTTATCTTACCTATTTCAATGTGTTGTAGTTGGCCTGCTGATGAATCACCGGAAACGAGATTGTTTGCTTGACCATCTTTCACAACTTAGCTGCCCGTCTGAAGAGCTCTACGATCTCATCGGCTTAAGAAGGTTTGAATCAGCATTGCTCAGTTTTAAATTAAAAAGCTGTTATTTCGTCTAGGTATTCATGCAGACGAGAGGTTTACCTGCGCCGTGAGAAAAAAGTCATTTGTGATGAGAGTATCCAATCGGACTGAAAATACAAAACTCAGGGACGAAACAGATAGTAAATTGGAGGCGGACAAAGCAGGCTTGCCACTGGATGCACTAGGAAGTCGTCCGTCGACTCGACCACGCTTCTAATTGTTACCCTTCTTGTCTACTGTGAGTTGTTTAGCAAACTGAGCTACAGTGGAAACCACATGTCTCTAAATACTCGTTATCAAAGAACTCGGACGAGTATTGTACTTTGGATCGACTTACGGGTCAACTTTACTGTCCGCCTACCTCATTGTCCTTACTGGTTAAGATGCTTGTTAATGAAGGGGGACTTCTTTTACCATACTTGGCACTCACGCTGTTACCTTGTCAGCGTTCATATCGAACTCAGACGTGTCCCACATATCAGGTGAATGAGGACGTCGAACATGTGACAACCTGCACCCTCAAGTTCAAGCCGACATTCAGGACTTCACACGGTATTCTCCGCGTCATGCGGATACCATCACTCAGTCAAATATCGATGTATTCGTGCACTCCTGACAAGATCAGTGGAATACCACTCGCTGGCATTAACCTTAGGGTAAATTAAGCCAAAATTGTACTGCAGTTCACATGTGTGCAATTTCTTCGCCTACAGGCAGAACCCAATAAACAGTTGCTCACTCGTGTAAACCTACATTTCGCAAATAGATTTTGCAAGCGTAAAATAATAACAGTGAATTTCGAGACTCTGGCTAGAAGCTGATCACTAGAGGGATCACATCATTTGTGCGGGAGTTCGGTGGTTTTGCACGAATAATACCAAAATTAAGGTTATGTCCTACTTGCTTCTGAGCACCGTACCAGACAAGTGAAGCAATACACTTTTTATGAAGAAGCGTGCTTTAGCACGAAAGATCTGGTAAATTTCAATTCTCAGAGCCTTTGTGTCTTCTCTTCAGATAGTTTGCCAAATCGACGGTGGTATTCAACTGTAATTCCTCAGTTGAACAATGAACAATGATTTATCACGGGATAAAAGCAAGTGCTCGACACGTCCCGTAGGATGGTTGTGGTGAATATGATGAAATCAAAATATGTCTGAGTCATCTACCGAACATCTGCCGAGATGAATACCTCGATAAATTACATCAGAGTAAAATGTAAAAACAAATCGAGCGTAAACGTTCAGAACGACACTGGGGTGCAGTGATCGTCGATGTAAGACGTCAGGAAAGTAAAATATGGTCACTCACTTGGGTCCATTTGATACATAAATCTTGTTGAAAAGCATGCTTAGCGTAATCCACAATAGAGGAGTTTAGGTAACAAAATGCTGGCAGCTAAGAGCACCATCTAATCGTTTTTTGAAAACGTCCAAGATAGGCGATGATAAAACTGAGTCTTGGAGTGCCTTCCAGGGTTGGCAAACCCCAAGGGAAAAGAAATTCCGTCATAACTCTAGATGGCTATATTGCTCCTTTAATTTTAAGCAGTTACCCTTGAGCTGCGTGTTGTGGCTAAGTTTCAGCAATTGGCGGCATACGTGGTTGGGGTCACTCAATATCTGATACGCTAACATGAGATCGCCACGCAGCTTTCGATAGCGTCCGCTGAAAATTCACAGCAATTTCAGCCTTCGGTTGTAAGAGTGATAGCGCAGGTCCTTTACATTCTTTGTTGCTCTTCGTTGTGGTGCCTCTATCGCTTCTAGGTCGCGCTTCAACCAAGGTTGCCAAGCTTGGATAGCGTATTCAACATGCGTGCGCACGTAGGAATTGTGCATCATTGGGAAGATTGATGGGTCAAATCTCCCGAATGCCCTTCGCAGCATGCCGACATGCTGGTTGCTTCTTTCTGCAGCTACCTCAGCCTGTTTTGAATAGTTGAGATCGCTCTGTACGAGCACACCAAGGTCACGTTCCTGGGAGCTATTCTGCAATCCGTTTGTCCCAAGTAAATAGGTGTAGTTATGTCTATGGCGTAATTGTACAACTCGACATTTGTCTACGTTGAATGGTATGGCGTTTTGAACTGACCAGTTCGACACTGTGTTAAGATCGTGCATGAGCCGTTCATGGTCTTCCGGTCCTCTGATCCTTCGCCATATCTTGATATCATCAGCGAAATTTAGGAAATCGGATGGAACTGATCTCGCCAAATCGGTAATGAACACCAAGAATAGACGAGGTCCAAGAACCGAGCCTTGTGGTACTCCACACGCCACATCGATTGCATCAGACAATGATTATCGGACTCTCACCACTAGTCGTCGTTCGTGTAGAAAAATTGTAATCCAACTCAGGATTGGGTCGCCAATGCCGTAGTTCCGAATCTTCTGAAGGAGAATTCGATAACCTAAGAGATCAGAGGCGTTTAAGAAGTCCAGGGAGATGACATCGGCTCCTATTCCATCATCAACTGCTTCAGTCCAGCTATTACGTGCAATTAATAGGTTAGTATTACACGAATGCTTTTGACGAAAGCCACGTTGCTCTGGGGCTATTAAGTTGTGGCTTTCCAGATACTGCATCTGCGCATCTGCGACGATTGATTCCATCACTTTGGATAGTACTGGAAGTAGTGTTATTGGACGGTAGTTGGTAGGGTCAGTGCGGCTACCTCCTTTATGGATAGGAGTGATGACCTCTCACTTTCACACTGGTGGAATACGGTTCTCTTCTAGACATCGCTGATAGAAAACACCAGTGGTTCTGCTAGATCACTAGCTACCGCCTGCAGAGCCCGCTGTTTTCCATGCGTTTCGACATTATTAATGGAATCTAGCTCCCAGAGGATTGTTTACACTGTTCTATTGACAGCTTGCAAACGTAGTCGATTCGATCTGCTGATGTTATTTATTGGGGTTCCATCGGACTCTTTCGGTTTATTCATAGGTCCGCATTTATGACGGGCTCATAGAAAGAAATAAGAGAACGATGGCGTCAGAAGAGACGAGAGCAAGCTTTAAAATTCTCTATTGAAAGTAAATAAAAGGATGCATGTTTCAGCAACGGAGTGACCTGATAGTGCGCCGCAATTAGCCGGTAATTTGGAAAAAGTACGAGATGTATGATAGATGTCATATTAAAGATGTTTCTGACCACAGTAAATCCGAAAATCAAATGAAGGAAAAATCCTTTCCTACAGCGGAATCAACGGTAAGGAAATCAATTCGATTGGTAACCACACTCTTGTATCGATTGCTAAGATAATGAAACGAGATGTCTGCACAATTTGCACTGTTGCAAGTTCTGAAGCGACTGAATCCCCTAAGCAAACATACGGGGTCAAGGCGCCTATACATTGTGTAGACAACATACCGTCCCAAATAGTTGGCTGTCGTGCAAATATAAGACAGCATCGGCGAGACAGCTTCCTTACGGCTTTCACTGCCTCGCCTCACAATCAGCCATCACCCCGCAGATAACACAACACCAAACACACTTCAAACAGGCAATCTGACTAGGAGATGCAGCAGATGCGCCATTGGTGTCGGTTGCGAGCCATGTTCTGTAAAGTCTCGAGCCAAGCACAGGGCGAGTCACGTGGACTCCATCCGGGAAGGGGAGACGGACCAACGTCACGCAGTTTTGTAGTCAAGAGCTTCATTTCCCGCCCCTAATGAAACTTCTGTCCACCTCGAGCCTTGCGCCATATTACACCTGGCAGATTAACAAAGACCCTCCTAGGGAAACGGTTACCAAGCATACTTAGCAAGTGTCCGAGCCAGTGCAACTTATTCA